GGCTTTCATATGAACAGCCGTTAAAAACACACATTGACATGACAACTATCCTTTTCTTAATACCATACTGACAAGGTTTCCAAAACTCAGCCTGAGGGCTGAGAGCAAACATATTTGAGCTTGTTGAACAGACTAAATGCATATTTCACTGATGTCTGAATTTATAAAACATTGCATACTTTTATTCCATAAATCCTCTACTTAGGCTATCCAACAAGTCCCATTCTTTGCCCCTTCACAACAAAGAAACACATGATACCAATTGGATTTATTCTGATTGCCCTTCAAATAACTATGTGCCCACATTTATTCAATTAGTATTCATGGTAAATCATATTGTCAATATATAAAATAATATTGAATTTATTGTGCTTGCCTGTAATTAGCAATTAGCATATATGAGCACACTGATATATCAGTTTCAGTTCACAAATTACCTGCCCAGTCTAAAAAATATTGTCAAATGCCAAACTAGCTTGTGGGACATCTAACCATGCAAGCCTATTATTATTACCTAGCCATGGGCTCCATGAAAGGGCCTGTTTATAAAATCCCAGTTAGGCAGGATGAGGCAGTTTCCAAGATCCTGACTATCATATCAACTCGTGTTCAAAAAAACATGTATATATTTGATGAACTCACGAACATGTATAAACATGACATCCTAGCTGCCTGGCAAGGTTTCCCACTTTCCCACCTGACAGGATCATATAAACATGTCTTAATATTAATTAAAATAAGCCTTTTAAATACTGCAATATCTTACATACTAATATACTATATGTCACAAGACTTTGCAAAATAACATTTTCTACTTTCCTGGCAATATGTCAGACCAGCCCAATAATAAACACATCCAGGTTTATTGTAAATATAATTATAAATGTCCAACTGAATCAGCAGAAACAGGGAGGGTTTCAAAGGACTAGGCCACCTAGCTAAGCTAAAAAAAGAAAGGTTATTAATTTTGCTCAGCCACACGCAAAATATTCTTTGCCCTTTCATGACCAAGAATCCTCAATGAGATATATTATTTATAAACACAATATAAAAATATGCAACGGATTCGAAAAGACGAAAACATTCCAGCGACTATTATTCGTAGAGAGACTTCGGTTGGTGTCGTAAAAATCGTCGGAATTACTCTTCCCCAAAAAATGTCGCTTTAACCCATGTAGTTCACATATAAATATCGTTGAACAGATCTTTTTAAGTGCACATATTTGCACAACGCCGACCTCGAACGCTTCAGCAATGCGCTTTAGCCATATTTAATTTATTACCTTTGTGTTAAATTTATGCATTATTAATACAAATTTATGCCCCCCAAATTTTGGGGGGCTGTAATGTGATTGGTCAATCAGAACAATGCCGAAGCTCATTGACCCAGCCGTTAAGTGGGCGAGTGGCGAGAACACAACGGCTGGAATCTGAGCCTAAAACCTGTACTGATAAGATTTGATATAAACCTCGAAAATCGAAATAAATAACACAGTATACGCGATCGACTGTCAGCATTTCATTCAGATTCGGACTGTAGCTCACACAACAATATCAAATTTCTCCCTAAATATTCGTTTCTTTCTATGCTAGCCACAATAATAATTTAGGCTTACAATGCCTCTGCAGGCAGTTGTAGTAGTTTGATATTCCAATCCTTTGTTTCCGAAATATAGTCGATTTTGTGATCAAAATGTACATTTCGTAATACAAATCCCTATTGCACTGACTGGCTTTACTGGCTGCGAGCTTGAAAGATCCCGCGCGTGCGCACTGAAATTGGTTACGCGTTGTACGCGTGAGTTGCCCTTCTATTCATTTCTTATTCTATGCCGATACCGTAACCGATTTTATGACGTCATAATATCAGTCGACCGAGTAAAGGTGACATCATTCATGTCGATTTTTTAACGATACTTTCCAACGTAAAATGTTACTGCAACCAAAGATCGTTAAAATCGTTAATAAATGGCCCGCTTCATGCATTAATTAAACATATACTGCATGTACGGCATGTATCAACGTGCAATGCATATATTTTTTAAAGTGCTTATTTTCTCAACAATCGGTTTTAGACAATCGGAAATATGGACAATTATAATTATCTGTATTTCCGATTGTTGAGAAAATAAGCACTTTAAAAAATATATGCATTGCACGTTGATACATGTTGCATTTCAACGCAATACAGTATGTTTAATTAATGCGTGAAGCGTGCCATTTATTAACGATTTTAACGATCTTTGGTTGCAGTAACATTTTACGTTGGAAAGTATCGTTAAAAAATCGACATGAATGACGTCACCTTTACTGATATTATGACGTCATAAAATCGGTTACGGTATCGGGTAGATTGTGGCATGAATAATCGGTAATTTCCGATTGTTGCACAATCGGTAAATCGCTAAAGGAAAGTAATATTCTACCGATTCCGATCAATCACTACTTTCCTTTACACCAACTGCGTATTTTTGTGTGTAAATCTCTGCCTAAACATACGAAGTTTTTGACCCATGTGGAGCATTCATATTGTTGTTTCTTTCAAATCTGCAAGTTGCAAATCTTCAATCTAACAAATCTCCTGTGGCTGTTTGTTTAACATTGCCTGCGAGCAGTGCTTGCGTGCTCGACTACTTTTCCATCCCTGGAAAATGTTCCCTGAAAGTTGTTCTAGTGATACGTTTGTAACATTAAATATAAATATACACTACATATTTCCAAACACACAATACCTATATTTGAAGTGTAATCTGTAGCTCCAAATATTAGTTCAGGTGCACGGTAATATCGAGAACAGATGTAAGCCACATTTGGCTCTCCTTTTACAAGAACCTTTGCACTACACAGAAGAACAAGAAAATGGCATAAGTGAAACAAACACAATCTTTATACATGTCAAACACAATCTGAAATGTTATCTTTATACAAACACAATCTGAAATGTTACTTCTCAATCTCATTACCTTCCAAAATCACATAATTTTAATACTGCTGTTTCTGGATCTAGCAACAGATTTTGAGGTTTGATATCTCTATGACAAATTCCAAGCGAGTGGATGTACGCTAATGAACGAAACAGCTGATACATGTAAAGCTAAAGAAAAAAAAATTAGGCATTGATACAAGATACCTCAGATACATTTCGGCAGGGCCGCAGGGGTGCAAAAGTATCCGACCATGGGTCACAGAACATTTTCGAGTTCTCAGAAAGTATTTTCCTTGTAGTCACGTGGCTTTAGATAAATGCAATGTATCCCGCCCGGGCAATAAGTGAAAAATTGTTGCCCACCCCGACCGGCTACGTACATAAATAAACAGCATGTGCAATGGCGGCACAAATTTATACTATTTAAACTTCTGTTTTCGTGGCTTTGTGTTAAAATAAAGAATGTAAAAGAGAAGAAAAATACATAACAGGCAACAGGATATGCTGCTGAAACCATTTAAGTAGGTTTTTAAAATTTTAAACTCGTTTACGCCATAGAGTTTTTGTCATGAAATACAAATATTGTTGTATGAATGTTGTTCAATGTTGATATTTGTTTCGTCGCTATATAACAAAACACTTAATGTCTTTTCCCTCGGGAAATAGTTAGTTTTGTTTTCCCTCGAATCTCAATGTTTCCCTCGACTTCGTCTCGGGAAACATTGAGATTCGAGGGAAAACAAAACTAACTATTTCCCTCGGGTGCAGACATTAAGTGTATAATATTAATGGTCAAAACTTCCACAGCTTGAATTGACCAATCCATATTTTATGTAATATTAATAATAACTGTATCATGGCTGCAGAAACTAGGGAGTAGCACCACATTCAAAATGCCAGCATACATACATAGGCGAATTGGCTGTACCAGCATAGCCTACATGTATCTCCATAAAAATAACTCCATGCATGAACTCATAACAATTAATATATTTTTTGATAAACATTTAATGGCTATTAATTTTGTACATCCAGAATTTCAGAAAAATAATGTTTGTTTCTCATTAATTCAAACTCCAAGTTTACACAGGGTGTTAGCCAGAAAAAGAAAGTTTTGTCCATTAAACGTAAATTGGGAAAGTTATTTTGACCGATCAAAGTCCTTGTGTAGGAATAAATAGTGTTTTTTCCAACGTGTTTCTCCTTAGATGCAAACAATGGTAGCTTGGCTTTGTACATTTCATTTCCGGTGAATGAACACTGAAAAATGCACCCGATGGCACTTCAAAATTTGTATATTTCGTTTCCGGTGAATGAACACGGATGCACACCGATTACACTTTGTTTTGTACATTTCATTTCGGTGAATACACTCCCAATATGAATGAAACGTGATACATTTTGAGAAAATAGTTAATGGGAAAAAGTAAATACAACGTTCTTTGATATAATAATATAAAATCAAACGCAATGCACTTTCTCATCAGAAAAAATGAAAATCTTCCGGTACACGCAGTTGGGAAAGCCCCTTAGCTACTTCAATTGGGAAGAGTCCGTCAAACGGACAGTATATGAGCTAGCTAACACCCTGTTACAACAATCATTCATGCAGCAAAACAAAGAAATGTGATGAAAATCATCCATGGTTCTTCATATGCATTATGCTGGACATTGACTTTCAACATACAATTTTTGACAAGACTTTTTTCAAAATTCTTTTGATATTTAAAAAGATTGTTGTTGCTCGCGTTTCTGTTTTTGCCGCCCATTTGCGGCAGCTTTTGTATGCACATGACTAGGTTAGTATTTTTTGCATAATCATTTCATCTTCAGTTTATCATAGCCTGAAATAAATCACCCATTGTACAAACTGAAACATGCATGTATCATACAGTATATCTGCTACAGAAGCTTTTATTTCGAAAGCACTGTATTCTGGAGGATGTGTGGAAGCATCACAAAATACACATTGAACAATAAGCATACTACAGTATTATTCAACAATACCTTGACATGAACTAAAGGAATAGTTTGTTTAGATTTGCTATAGTGTCTTGCAACTCGATATACAGTTTCTGGGACAAATTCTAATACCAAGTTCAAATAGATTTCCTCTCTCTAAAAAGAAATAATCAGACTTTCAGTATATTTTTAACCATAGATACTAGAAACCTGAATTCTGGTATCCCTCATTTGGAGAGTAGTATTGCTGGTGGGATACTAGAGACTTGAATTCTGGTATCCCACATTTGGAGAGTAGTATTGAAACAAGTCAAAGTCAGATTTCAACTGTAACAAATTTGATAAATATAAATGAATTGTTTAGCAAAGGCATGTTTAGCAAAGGTTACTAAGCAACAGAGAGATATCTATGGAGGAGAGAAATGCTCTAGTATCCCACTGGAACAATTCTACTGATAAGACAAAAATCAGCCCAATGCTGATATGGATTATCGGTCAATCACTACAAATTACAATAACAACATCAGTGGTGGATTTATAAGGGGTGCACAGGGGTGTACAATAAAGTCACAAAAATTAAACAAAATCTTTTTTGGAATTCAAGGCAGCACCACAGCACTAGATTTGCAAATGTCTAACATTATACTGTAAGCATTTGATAAAAAAATAAAAATTACAAATGCAATCAAATATTCAAATGCGAAAAATTTCCATTGTCTTTCACTCAATCACAGTATATCAAGAGAATCGGGGATTTATATTTTATATAAGTGTATTTATTCAATGTATCGGTATATTGTAAGCACAGAAGTTGACGGAACACCTTCATGACAGTATGCTTCTGGCGAGTGCTGCCAGGTTCAGCGTGCTTGGCTGCTACCCCCCCCCCCAAAAAAAAACCCCTTGCTGGATCCATCACTGGACAACATGAGATTTAACAGTCAACAACTACCCAACCATTCCCACTGGAAATCAAAGGCTGTTATTTTCAATACTCAAAGCTATTGGGAGACCACCCTAGACATTTAATATTATCCTACTGTTTGGAATTTTGTAATATCCAGTTGGGATACAAGTCATTCACAGTTTGATATCCAAAACCACATTTTAGTATTCTGTGGATATCAGGATACTGCAAATTTCATAACCTGAAGAAAATCGCTTAATTTTCTACACACTCTCAAAATATGGCATGTTGGGCCCTACGATTAGTGTCCCCTTTCTCCCTCCTCCTCTAAGGAGTTTTCCACTGGCAGAACACTTTGAAAAACATTCTCGCATTGTCTTTGCTTAGTTATTCAATTTATCAAAGGCTCTCATGGGAAATTAAGGGCAGAGACATTTTCACTCTCCACCAATTTACAACCACTAACTGGCTGGAAATCCATTTAGATGGCTTTTATTGGGATTTTACTCTGAAAACAATCTAATAACAATGTACATTCATTTGCAAGTGCTGATGTTATTTTGTGGTTTTGGTTTCATTGTTCCTTTCTATAAAACTTCAGCTTTTAAATTCACTTGAAACTAAGCAAGAAATTTCATGGACTTTTTGGAAATAGCAAAATGTTAAAAACCTCCATAAATACATTTTTAAACCTCTAAAAAATACAGTAGTTTGAAAAAATTTCTCTGTTTTTATTTCTGCATGTTTTAGAGACCTTATAAATTAAACAACAATTTATGGAAGTGACCACAAAAATTTTGCCACCAAACCATAAAAGGTCAAGTTTAATCCATTAAGCATCATTACAGTCTAACCACAGAACCTTTTATTCTTCAGATCTATGGTCATTCTTGAACATTACAAGGTTCAACCAGTGATAAAGTAGCATATCAATTCAGTGACACATAGTTCCAATTAAATTGCATAAAGCCTTGATTATAATATATATCAAGAGAGGGCTCGACACAACTGAACTCTTGGCATTGTGGAGCAATGTTATAGATTAACAAGAATAAAATTACAGTTAAAAAGTTCGGTTACTCGAGTTTCACACTCAAAACAATCATTTATAAGACTAAAGAGTTTTATATAAAGTATATAATACATGTGTATGTAGAGCAGATATACATGTAGTCTTTTACTTGAAAAGGTTGCCACAACAGACTGTTTCATCCAAGAGGAATTATCAGATGGCTGATGATTCCTTTTAGATGAAATAGGCTGTTGTGGCACCTTTTGAGGTAAAAATACTATATACAGGCATATTTATATTAATATTATTAATTTGAGTTCATGTATTTAGTTTGTTTTTAAAGAATTAAACTTATTGCATTACATGTATTATGTTTTGTCTGTCAAATGCAGATGTACAGGTACATGTATAAAACACCTGTTGTCGGTAACACATCTTCCTTTCATACAATGTTGTATATTGTGTTGAAGTAAACAGTAACACAAATTATGCTAATGTCAGTTTCTTATCATGAGGCTGACCAGTATTTCTTTGTGATCCATGATGGCTTGTTACATAAGACTTCAATTCATCTGACTAATCACAAATTTAATGGTAAATTACAACTGAAATTTTTCAGTATCCTGATGTCTATGGTATACTAAAATTTGGTGTCAGATACCGAACAGTATCCCAACTGGGTACTGAGAAAATTCAAGCCTCAGGAAAATGTTAAGCATCTCTGACAGTCTCCTGATAGCTTTTGAATACTACGAGTTTGCTATCAGCCTTTCCTCATTGAGGACTAGCATATAGAAGGATTATGTGCATTTTAGTGAATTAATGAATTGTCCAGTTGTTGACCATCAAGTCTCCTGTTTTTCTTGTAATTTGTAACAGTGAAAGTTATGGAGACTAACAGTATTTGGATGGGACAGGGTATAACACTTGTGCTAATCAGCATCCAGAAATGGGATACAAGAATTCTCAGGGGGATACTGAACTTTGAACCCGGGTCTCCTAGTTGGATACTGAGAAAAATTAGAATTTCAGATCCGGAATTAAATTTGCCTGAGTTTTAATTCGACATAAAAAACATGACATGTCATGTATAGCAATGTAAGATGTGCTACCTGTACAATATATAACTGAAAATGTGAAGTTACATAATTTTTTTCTTTTACATGTAAGTTTTATGGTTCCAGGGCAAATGGGAATATTGGATCATGCAAGAAAACACAAGTGGAATTCAGCATTTTTCTGCACAGGATTTTTTTGGAAGGATATATTATATATTAGGTAGTAAATGAAACCAGTTACATCAGATAATTGTTGATAATTTTAGTTTATAACCAAAGCAGCTTATATGAAGTGCATAATTATATACAATGAAAATATAAATGATTAGCGAATGTTTCAATAAAATTGTTCAACACTTTTGTGTTTAACTGTACGCGTCTTTCAACAAACATTTAAACTGAAATGTTTTGCAGTTTATACAAATGGAGGTTGACAAATATGTCAACAAAATTATAGAAATTTTCACTCAGTTTATAAACAGGAAAATGAAATGAAAATATCTATACTTCTACACGCTACAAAGGGCAAAGTTTGTAGCTGTATTGATTGAAAAAATAAATATTGCCCAAACAGCCATATTCATTTGTATAATATTATTCTCCAGGCAACCAGACCTGTCGAGTGGGGAAGATTGTCCAACACCGCAACCCCCAATGAAATATTATTCATCAATAAAAATGGTTAACACAGTTTTATAACTCGTAGAAAAAACAAAATTTGTCTTGTTAAATTACCGTCAATTTAGCTACTATCCCCACAAACAAAATATTTAGCAATGGAAACGGAGATTAATTTCAAAATTAACTGTGTATATCTTATTAGTTATTTAAGTGAACCTATTCGTACCTTTTCGCCACTTGAATAAAAGAAATACTTCAGTTTCACAATGTTGCAGTGGTCGAGTTTCCTCATAATTTGAAGTTCTCGATTCTGTGGGGAAAAGCATGTTATTTCATATATGTATGAGTTGTGAAAAATTATGCATTGAAGACGCATTTTTGGCAGACAATATCAGCTGCGCCGACTTTATAAATGTACATGGGAAAAATAATGCCCATACCTTAAATCTTTTATCTTGTAAAACTTTTTTGATTGCGACTGGCTGATCGCTCTCACATAATCGTGCCTGATAAACTACACCAAAGGAGCCATTTCCAATAACTTTTGTGTCGGCGTAACTTATTTCTTGAGTTCGATCAGGCAACGAACCTGACGTTGCAATGACTGTAGTCACTTTGCCACCATCTTTGTCACCTTTGTAGACAGGCAGGCCGGTTAATATTACAATCAATTCATGACAGACAAATTCAAGATACATTTCAGCGCAGTAGAATGTACAGATGATATTTTAAATCCAAACTGAAAGTACATTTTTAAATATATACTTACGGCTAACTTTAACGCCGCCAAAAGACGATCCCTGAGATTTGCCAGTCTCCGCCAACGACGTTGTACGAGGCCTGCCGCTCATTTTAAATCAAATCGCCAGGTATAAAACGTCAACAGTAACCTTTGTTTAAAGGTCCTTTACATCTCTTGTCGTTATAAACAACATAGCAATAAAATTAAGACAACAGGGGAAAAGTTCACGGAAAGAGCTTGGATGTCTTGTCAAATATTAACACAAATCCACGAAAAAAGATTACATCATTTTCAGGACATTTATAGCTTTCCAGTTCTCTAGTATTCTAAATTCCCATATGGTCTACACGAACCGATTAACCAAAGACTTATCCAGCAGTCTTTACAAGCTTTCCTTCAAAAATTTTCTGTTTAAAAATCGATTTGCAATATGGCGGCCGCTCAGGCATGTGGCATACCCCCAGCAAATGTCAAGCGATGGCGTCCCGAGAGAGAGCCGAGAACGTTCCGAAGCACTATTCAGTCAATTTCCTAGATCAGTGTTTGGCTCCAAATATTAAAATCATGGAGGATACTGCAAGCCATTCTAGTCAAAGGTATACATTTTTTTCATTCTTTATACTGCCATTAGTCTTCTGGAAATTTATACCCTGCATGTTGGATGCTAGAACTGTGATGTAATGTCAATGTATAGCTGATGTTGTGATAGTTATATAAAAATATAAAGTCAAATATGTTGAAGAATTCTGGGGCCCCTGAAGAAATTCTGGGAACAGGGGCTGTAGTGATATTAGTCCAATTGCATGCTAGGAGAGTTACCAAGAGGTTTCATGAGATAAAGTTTCCCAGGACCCAAGCGCTGTTATGTAGATCTCTTCCATGTTCAATTCTGTCATCCCAGGCACATTCCTTTATCGGAGAAGAAAACTTCAGCATGCAGTTTAATAGCAAACTTTATAGCAGCCCTGTGAGTCTTGATCACTTATTTAACGCCCATTCTGTATGTTAGCAGATGCTTACAGTTCACAGTGGGCAGCGGCGTAGCCAGCTCGATAATTGGGGGGGGGGGGTCCATATTCATAGATTCGTGTTCTGCATTATTAATTTCTTTTGAAATCTATTGTTTTTAAAGTCTGTGAACATGAATATATGAATATGGACCCCCCTAATTATCCGAGCTGGCTACGCCGCTGACAGTGGGATTGATGTCTTGTACTCAGGTGCTATATATGTTGCTACATGAGCACTGGCCATGGCTTGTGTGTCCTTTGCATGCATGATTATTTTGATCAGTTCCATGTGTGCTTGATGGCGTGAGACACAATCCAAAGTGCCAGCATTGGTATGGTGCAGGACTGCAGGTGTCATTGTTTAGTTAGTATGTGTTTTGGAAGAAAGTTCAATTTAATTTCTGGAAATAATTCTGAGAGTTATGCCATGCATGTTATGATCCAAGAATGTTGGTGAATTGTTGGATGGTGTTAAATTGATTTGAGATGTAAGCCATAAGGTGGCTCGATATATTAATACACACAAAATCCCTTATACACAAGGGCGTAGGAACCGGGGGCACATGTTTTATTGTGATGAAAAGTGCCCTTTTTGTACAAGCTAATGTCGCGGTAAATACTAAAATATTAACATCAAAGGTGCCCGTTTTGTCTGGAAATTTCCATGTTTTTAAAAAGTGGTAAAAACATGCCATTTTGGTATATGGTATGACAGGAAAACTTTTCTGAACAACTGATCTTTTGTACCAAGGCCTCGTTTACACTATAACGGATTGCATCAAAGCATAGCGATTTTCATACCGGATTTGGCTGCTGTTTACACTATGCCACAGTAATCCGGCACGCGACGCGGAGCAAAAATCACTCCGCTTTGGAGGTGATATGAAAAGTAATCCGGTATGTGCCAGAGTAGTGTAAACAGTCCAATCCGGTACGCTTCAAATCTGTTTTGGTGTATATGTTCTAACATTGTCGCCTTTGTGTTACTTGTTGTTTTTAATAAGTTTTAGTATACAGTATTGGCAAAGATATATTACTTGCTCCCATGGCAACAGCGAGACATGAGCTGGCAACAGAACAAAGTGGCATGCATAGTGTAAACACCCTTGTTTTTTACTTTGGAGTGAAAATTAATCTGGTATGAAAAGTAATCCAGTATAGTGTAAACAGGGCCCAAGTTATAATGTATCACAGACTATACTTTTATCTTCAAGATGGCAATTATTAATTAAATAACTAAATCAGTTTTACGAAATACTGTAGTACGTCATTTTTGAAAATAACCATGCAGGCTATAAGTATAAAGTAGACCTGGTTGAGGAAAATAACTTTGTTTGAAAACTTAGAGTGGAGGAAGGGGAGCAAAATTGATGTTTCAAGTACTGACAAAGTAATCGGCGGTAAAGCTTATGCCACCCGCCATATAGCTCCGGTGGCGGCTGGCTTATCTTGAAAGCCCTGTATATGTCAATTGCTGATGTCATTAGAAATGCAGTGATCTATGTTACTTGAAATTTTGCACACTGTATTGTAAATGCCAAAAATATTTTATCGCAAAAAAAGAACATTTTTGTGGGGGTTTTTTTTAAATAATGGCATAATGCATGATTACAGAAATTTTTTATATTTTGCATATTATTGTTAGTTTATGTTGTAAGTAAAATAGTGTGTGAAAAAAGTGGGGTCACCATGCTTTTCCAGCTACACAAAGTATGTGTGTGTTGCCATAGTAACAAACTATGTGCCAGTCATGCAGGTTTTAAAATAATGACCAGACGAATGGTCAAATTTGTATGGCGCAGTTCATATTAGTAACCAGCCACATTTTATTGGCTCTGGGAACGAGAGTAATTTTTAGATGTTGTGGACCTGTTAAATATCATCATGATGTCAATTTGTAAGCTTAGGGTTTCTTCTGGTGTGTGGATCTTCACTGTATTGCTGCCTGCCAAAACAATTTACTTATTTGAATACGAGGCAATGCAACAGTACCAGGCCCAAAAAAAGAATATCAGGATCTCGTATTTCTTGTTACCAAAACGTAGATAGGGTAGGTCGGGTTTGGATATTCCAAGTCAATTACGGCAGTACGGATGGCACAAACGTTAATTAAATGTTATATCAATTTTGAAATAAAAAGGTTATGCTCTATATAGCTACACTTATACTACAAAACTAAACGCCACGAACTGGGAACTCCAAGCTTCAGATCAAAAGATTAGGGTCTGTGATTTCAGTGGCTAAAAAGCTAGATAGGGTCAGGAAACCAGAAACCCAGGTATTTTTTCTTTGGCGATTTGGCCCCAGCATAATATTGGGTCATTGAAGAAAAGATGCGCACTCCCCCTATGATGAAATTTGTGCCATGCATCCGGAGGGGGAGGGGGCAAAACTAAACTTCTGGTATGATACTAAAAAGTACTAGGAAGAGGATTAAATTCCATTTTCCTCCCTGAGGAAGATGTGAATGTTTTAATACTTTTACTGAAGTGACTCTAAGCATATATAGAGGATGTTACACGGCGGCGCGAAGATATGACTTTTATCTTCGAGTGGTGAAAACAATATTTTACGAACGAGCGTGCGCAGCGAGTGAGTAAAATATTGTTTTTAACACGAGAAGATAAAAGTCATATCTTCAAGCCACCGCGTAATGTTCTGTTTATTATATAGTCCCAAGCAAAAAATTGTATAAATATACTAAAAGTCACGTCATCGATATCTTCACTAGTGATTTAGATATGGAAAATATCTCGCTGTGTATTTTTCAGTATCTCACTCTCTATACTATATATAATAAAATATATGATTGTTTGATTGTCTGTGGAAAGGCTTGTGTTTCCAGCCGGAAATCATGTTTGACGAGTCACAAAATAATGAAACTGAGCAGTCACTATATGAGCGGTCATCATGAAACATTATTTTGAACCCCGGAAGGGTACAATCACTAGCAGAATCACTTGACTCCTATTACATTTATTTCAGGTCAGTTGATGAAGAAGAACTTGATCATGAGAATACAATGTCCATTCTTGTTGGTAGGTACTGTTCTTATCCAATGTCACGAAAAAGACAAGTAGACTGTCATGTCGGCTAGCCTACATATTTATAGACCAATCAATCATATAGAGTAACAGACTGTAAAATTAGGATGTGACTATTTGCACTTAAAGAGAGGCCCTAAATGAGGTGTGTATCTGAAGGTTGGACCTCTTACATTTTCCACCGGCGTTTGATTATTAATAAAAGAACTAACTCCGCGTGCGAGCACAAGATTCTCGCCACCTGCATGCGCGTTCACACCCTAATTTTTCCCGCGCGCTCAGAATTAGGAAAGGATAGGCTGATGGGATATATCGATATTTTCGATAAATATCGATATTACAAGTATATCGATATTTCAAATATATCGATATCGCATATCGAAAATATCGAAAGTTTTAACGAGATAACTTAATCTCCTTTAATTTTTTTTCGGCATATTGTCCGATAAGGTTTAGAAAACACGTGCATGACAGCGATTGCGAATTCAAGTAAAGCAAGCACGTGCGCAATTTTAAAGTGTTAACAGAGTAGTAGTGTGATGATCACAGAAGATTACCCCGCACACAAGCGGCAGTTGAGCGCTTGAAAACAATAACTGTGTGATGATCCATGCATAAAGATGGAATCTGTACTACTTTGGATAATAATCTTAATGGCATGTATCGGCGCAGGTTTAAAAACAATGTATTAAAATATCACAGCTCGTTCTAACTCACTGTTCTGTTGCGAAGGAAAGTCTAGACAATATATCGAATCAACGAAGTCCTGTTTGGAATTACTTTAAGAAAAGTGACGAAAATGATGACCCTTGCATATTTGTTTTGCATAGATTAAGTTGCATATTTACACCCCAATGTGCTCTACTCGATTATTTTACTCTCCGATTGCAAGAGGAGAGTGCTGGCACTCAATGGGTTAAGGTTCAGAGGGCTTATAGTTGCATTTTTCGCAACTGCTCCTGGTTTATAGGTCTGGTAAATGTTTAAAATTCACACTCGAAGTTTTCATCTACAAAACTCTTCTACAAATAGTTGTATCGAGTGTAGATGGCCCAAATTCTAAAACGTGTAATTATATAACACTAATACACTATAGTGACATCTCTGAGTCAAGTACAGGCGGATCGATTCCAAATGTTTTTACCATCGATACCAGAGTTTGAAAGAAAAATATCGATGCTGTCTAATATAAAAGGATTAACTGCTGAGCCGCCTTTTGGTCAGCGGACACCAACAAGAAACGTACTGAAATGTGGTGGAGTTGAAAGACGAAGGGATCAGTTGGTTTTATATTACCAAGGTTTCATTTCTACGTTATTTGCCATATTCGTACATCAGCCCACATGCCATACAGATACCAATCTCATTGATCTATACTTACGCGTATTCGCGTTCTCTCTCTTTTTGCCACGTACCACGTAGGTACGAGGAACTCTTGATACCTGCGTACTTGTTTTTTGCTGGTACCATTATGACCTTTCCAAGCACAGGAAATTTTGTTACAAAAACATTTAATGGTTTTGAAGATGGGAAATAATATTATTCCCATTTGTAATCATTCATGAGTTAATGGTTAATTAAACGATTGATGGGTTTTATTGATATTCACATCACGATAATTATATATAGTTTTTAAGTTTTACCATGAATGATATGGATGGGTTTGTTCTATATTACATCATGGTGATCATAGCTTTTACTATGAGTGAGAATGGGTTAATTATATTAGTATTATTTATAATAAATGAAACTTAATAGTACCATTAATCTGAATTATAAAATTCCGACAGTTTGTAGAGAAAAAAGCATTGATGGAAATTGTATATTTATTTATTTTCACATCAACGGTTTTCGGTAATTTGAATGGTTTTAATGTATAGGAAATACATGTTGAAAATAATAAACCATTATGTATACTACGCTTATTTTTTCACATTAATATTAGTTCTTGCATTCGTAAATGGAAATTATCAATATACTATTCTAGAAATTACATTTTCCATTCATGCATGGGTGTTTTTCCTGTGAAGTCAAAGGTATTCAAAAACATGAAACATGACTGGAATGATGGGACCAAAGAGTCGATTGTATTTGTCGTGTATGTACTGTGACTGTGTGAATGTACTGTATAGATGTATTAACTCTTCATAGCTACTCATTGTAAATATTGTACTTGTTAATATATATTAGTTAATTTAGTGATAGAAGAGCCAATTCAATTTGGAATCGCTAATAAATCATTATTATTATTATTAAATTTGGACTAAATATATACCCTCCATCCGTCAAGTTCACTCAGTGCCAAACAGTCTCTCGTAAAGCCTTAAAAACCTCTCCAAATGATTGTATAAGAAATTTATGGAAATCAACTTGCAACAATACTAACATACAGTACGACGTCTACACCTCAACAAAGGAAGTTCTTAAAAGTTTCAAATCTGCACAAGAGGACAAGCTTCAAAATCATCTGCTTCTCCAAGGCTCCTTTTTCTCTAACACCACCAAGTTCTCGTTGTCTACACTAAACAACCTATGGTCCAAATCTCAATCCAGCTTGCCAAAAAGCATCTATAACTTCACCATCCGTTACATCAACAACACTCTTCCCACACGCAAAAACCTCACAAAATGGGGAATAATGTCAAATTCGGATTGTTCCCTCTGCCTGAACCCTGAAACCCTTCTGCATGCATGTAGTCGCGGGATGCCAGTCATACCTTCCACGATTTACTTGGAGACATGACTCCATTCTCAATTTTGTCGCAAAAATATTCCAACCTGAACACAACTCCACGCTATTTGTTGATCTTCCTGGATACAAGAGCCCATCAGTAATAACCGGTGACACTTATCGCCCAGATCTGCTTCTTTCGATTTCAAATGATTGTCTGTACATACTCGAACTCTCTGTCGGATATGAATCCAATCTCCAAAACAACGTCGATCGCAAAAGGGAAAGATACAAGGATCTAATTACGCAGCAGAAAGACCATTTCAAAACTGTCAAATTTATTAATTTGTCTATTAGTGCCTTAGGTGTTTTCTCAAAAGAATGTAGCACGTTTATAAAAATGTTGAACGAAGTTGGTCTTGATAAAAAACATCAGAACTTTTGTGTTAAGAAAATAATGTCCATCGCCATCAGAACAACGTACTATATATTTTGTTGTAGAAACAAGGATTGGTCCGATCCGGACTTGATGAACATTTAAGAATGAGCTTTCTCTTAGTTTTATACCTGTAATATAGTTTTATCAATAATTAATAGTCAAGTAGTCAATTATAAATTACCTTAATTAGTGAGATTTATAATTGTATATACATAAAATGTCAAAATAAAGTTTCCATTATTATTAATTATCTCACCGTGGACTTTGGCTTTAATATCGAAATCGAAAAAAAAAATGCAAATGTCCAAGCATGGAGTATGGTATTCGCTCATCAAATGTCACTCACCAGGCATCACTAGTTAAAGTACTTGGCTACGTTCAAAGAAAGAAACAAACAATTTAGTTCGGTTAAAACACTTTGATTCCTCCGTCATAAGCCTAAGTCCCTCTAAGGATAGCCTGTACACAGCCTGAAATTAGCGAGAATTTCAAACTGTACACAGGCTAGGCTAAGGAAGATGGAAGGCTTTGTTTTTAAAGATTTAATGAGCGAAAGAGTTCGCCAGATTGTGACATTCATTAACGATGAATATTCTTCAAGATTTTTCTCCTCTTGAACTTCAAACAACTTTTACAGTAATTACGACGTGTTTATACGTCACGTGATTTTCAAACAATGAATTATTGACCCAAGCGTATCCCACAATGCACTGTGCATTCCGGAAGTCCTCCGTATTAAAGATCTCCTGACGTAAACACTTCTAAGGTCTATTACACGGATTGTACTTCAAAAAACCTGGAATATTCTTTTGAGTTGTGGGTCACGAATTTCTTACGATCGTAAATATATTGATCGTAAATATATTGATACTAGGCTCTAATCTAATGCGAGCTGATAGACGCTTTGATGTTTGCCGACTTTCCCTTTTGCAGTAATTATCCCAAGAGAATAATTATGTGGGTAGTAATTGTAAGAAATTGGAATTTTTTAATGGGTCACAAAATTCTTCCTATATCGTAAATAATATATTCATCGAATGTATAGGCTCCAGTGTAATGTGAAGGTTGAGTAGCTAAACTAGAGACATTATTCTGAGATCTTAATAAAGAAACCTGTTGAGAATTTGAGGGTTTCTAGTAGGCTCCTAGACCTATAGACCTATATGGTAAAGTTAAAATCACAAAAAAAACACGTCTGCGTGTTAATAAAAATCACATAAAACACAAAACAAATCTGATGTTTTGTAATCAATATATATATTATTTAAAATTTAGAATACAGTAAATTGTTGACATCGATGTAAACTATGTAACGACAGACTACGGAGCAATGCTTCCTAAGAATTTATCAACCGTTCCTGCATGTATATAGTGTTGTAGGCCTATATATGTATTAAAAATGTTTGCCATTTGCAATTGTCACTACTAACTTGCTTAAAAAGAGAAACCGGGAACTTTTTATTTGGCCTGTATACACAAACGAAATATGAAAGACCATGACCATGCAGCCGACTACTTAAAAAAATAAAGTAAAAAACAAATTCCGAAAAGACAAGACATCTTGAGAATTCAATATATATGATTCAAAACAAGACGCGGGTTGAGACTGTAAATTTTCCACTTTATTACTTCAGACAGAATGAAGATGACTTTGAAATAAAGTCGAATACTTACAGTCTCAACCTACGTCTTGTTTTGAATCGTGTATTGAATTCTCCAGATGTCTTGTCATTCCGGAATTTGTTTTTTACTTTACAAACGAAATATGGTCTTGTAAATCGCCCACCAAAGTCTTTGTTTCATCTTTTTGGCCCTGCATGTATATATGCAAACTTATTTGCAATTATTGAGGGGATATATTTGTATAGATGGAAATTTCGAGTGGAGTTTTGATATCCTTCAACAATTAGAGTTATATCGAGTGGGATGCCCAAAAATCCTGAAACTTATATGCATGCATGTTGAAGGCAATGAATTTTTGTGGCATAAAGAAGCATTCCAATCATTCATGCAGTCCACACTGATCTAAGATCAGTGGCAGTGCCAAGTCGAGTCAGTCGACCCACTAAAAAAATAGGTAAAATTTCAAGAAATTTTGTGCAAACGCAGTAAGAGACGTAAGTTCATAAACGTAAGTTCATAAACGCTTTGAAGTTTGCCGAGTCTCCAGACCGATGACGGCTTGATATTGCTGTTCTTATATCATGTTTATGCATGGGAATCATGAAGCTATAATATTTCATTTGTTCAACTATGTAGTGCGGAATTTATAAAATCAATGATGTCGGTACTTGTCTTATGTTTTCAAATATTCGTTCTTTTCTACAAAACTCAAGTACGCTTCCGACTTCGGCAGAAACGTCTGGCAACTTCGGCAAAAACAGCTTCATGACATCCGTTGCGGGTGGGAAGGTGTTCCGACGTTAACAATGACCACACACAAGTGACGATTACTAAACGGCGATTACTAAACTTTGGGTTCAAAATCTACTAAATTGATTAGAATTTTACCAAAATTTGTTTTCACTCAGGCTTTTAGCCAGAAGGGTGTCCAGGCGTCCTGGGACGCCCCCTAGAACGAAAAGTGGACGCCCAAATTCTGGGGGAAAAGGGAAATTATTTTCAATGATTCCCTAAGTATATTAATATATCCGAAACGAAATAGCTTCAATTCTCATTATTATTATTATACATTTGACATTTTGATCAATTTGATGGTGTACCTGGCTGAATCAAAATGTCGTAGTTAAGTAAAGAAGCAATAGTGGCACAAACTCACAAAGCCAAGTGTGTTTGAAAAATTTCAAACGAGGTTGGAAAGATACTAACATGAAGTAACATAAACTTCAAAGGTTTTCCAGAGGAACGTTTTCTCGACCCCCCCCCCCTCTTTACTGTAGATGTATCGTTATGTCAAAATTGGACGCCCTCTTTTAGGACCCTGGCTAAAAGCCTGTTTTCACTCCAGTTTGATAAAAACCCGCGGTAACAATGTACATACCACCATGAAGATCCCGGGGACATAGTTGATGAATGTGGTAAAAGTTTGAATAAGTATTAGGGTACTGCATGCAGGTAATTGTTTAAGTCCAAAACAATTTCAATAGTGTTATCATGGCTTGGACAAGGCGACTTGATACACTATTATAGTACATGCAGAGTTGCAAAAAAGCTGTTTTACCATGTTTTAGCTGTTTTTTTGAGGTCAGAAATGGGCCCCATAAATTATTTCTAAACTGATTAAATGATGCTCCCATTAATGAGGTTAATGAAGATGAATTAGGAGATGAGAAAACTCACATGCCCGTGAGTTTAAAGAAGCGTGGCATAGTTTAGACAAACAAACATTCAAACGTCACATTGACATCCCTACAATTAGGCAAATAGGGGTATAATAAATTGTCTTGTCTTCAGTAATAGTTTTTTCTAACGGACCATATCGCTAATCCAGTTGTCAATTTATATAAAACCATAGTATATACTATTATTCTTCAAATGGAAGTCGAAATACGAAATTTGGCACACTCCTTGGAGACAAAAACAATAGAAAGGGAATGAAACTGACGTCCAATAGGATCTTTGACTTAACTTTTTGGACTCGAGTTTTCGCTGCAGATATGTATCGAGTTCATAGATATCTTATATACACTAGCTAGTGCATCTAATTATTCTGCAATTCGAAAATTGAAGCCGTGATTGCAGACTCAGGATATGCCCATGAAAAGAGAAGACTCGTATGTTTTCTATTTCTTAAACAAGGAACTTAAACATTAAGTTGAACCTATTTCAAATACATTTTCAAACTGTTCAAATGATGAAAGTTATTGTTGTTTTTTAAGCGTTTATTTAATAGCGAGTGGGAAACTCCAACATGGCCGCCATCTATTCAAATGGGGGTAACCGCTGGAATATTATTGGCTTCAATTTTACTAAAGGGGATGCGCTATCTAGTGTATATATAAGATATCTATGATCGAGTTCACTTGTCCTGTTTTGTCTTGAACGAGAATCGAATGAAAGGCAGGGTTGTGAGACCCATGGCCGATCCCATTAAGCCACCAGTATTTCTGTAGCTACTGACCTTTTCTGATATTTTCCTCTTCTAATTCTTCTAGCGACTGACAATCACATTGGTTATATGGAGAAAGACCCCGAGAGAGCATCTGATTCCTTAGTGACTTTTGAAGAGATATTACAAATCGCTGAAGAGAAAAAGGTATTAGCCTATATTTCTTGTTTATATGAGAACTAAACTAGTACAAAGCATGAAAATGAATTGCAGAATACAGAATATTTACAAGCTATCGGGTCCAAACAAAGTCTGTCCAAAGGTAAAGGTAGTCCAAAGTTGAAGTGGGGACCCAGACATTGTTTTCTATTGTGTCATTATTTTTATGAGGGACGCTTATAAAAATAATGACATATAGAATACAATGTCAGGTCCTCACTTGAACTTTGGCCTACCTTATCTTTGTATATGCAAACTGTTCAAGGTGAACAATTTCATAGCTTGCCTCATACATGGATCATGCTGGAATTCCACAAAATCGTGTGATTTCACAATCCCACGCAATTCGCGCGAGATTTTTCAAATTTGCAATGTTAAATAGAAAATCACGCGTTAACTGATTCACGCGGTAACTCCTACGATTTTACGGGAATTCTGAATCATATATTGACGACTGCACTTATACATTACTTAGTATTATTAGTGTATATATACGTGAACGTGTGGTTAGAGTTCGACAACTGAACTCTTGCAGTAGGGTACTAGCTAATTTGATATAGAGCGCTCTACCGGAATCGCTGGTTCGATTCCCGCCAGAGGGCCTATATAGTTGCATTTTTTTTCAGCTGCGCCTGTTTAAGTTTAATTAATGTATAAAATTTTGCACACCATTTACAAAACCCTTCAACATTATCCCTAATAGACTTTATTACATTCTTGCCCCAATGGCCTCGATTTCATGTTTGCCTGTTTTAGCAGTTGCACATGAAGGTCATATCCCCATGTGTCCAGCAAATATGTTTCTCTTTGATCTTAATCCGAATCACAAACCTCAGGGTTCGAATTAGCGGCTCACTATTCGCAATTTGCGAATGCAAAATCATCCATTTTGCGAATGATGTTTTGCAAAAACATTAAAACAATAACAGGGTAATTGATTTTCACAATCACTTCGAATGTATTTTACTATAATGTAAGATATGGAGTATTTTGCTGATCATTATTGTAATTTTGTACCAAAAGGATGTGTGAAATGAAGAATATGGCTACAATTTCTTCAGAAAATTTACGAATTCAAATTCGCAACGAAACGACCGCCATTTTGTTTTTCGCAAGCAGTGTTTCCACTTTAAAAAACCCTGAAATTTCCTTCAAATTTTCAAGAAGGAAATTTGCGAATCGATTTTTCCTGTCTAATTCGAACCCTGAACCTACAGTATCCCTATTGTGCAGGAAACATGGGGAAATAACCACATGAAAACGAGGCAAATGGAGCGAGAATACAATAAACAATACAGTTTATTGATCCATGGAGTTACTCCGAGTACCCGCGCACAGGGCTCGAAATAGCGGGCTGCCAATGGTCAAAAGCAGTCCATATTTTAGCAATGGCAGGCAAAAGCAAATTTGAACTGCCAAGTAAAAAAAAATGGCAGGTGAAATTCTATGGAGTACAGATATATTTCATTTCATTTGCTTCACATCGCTATTTTGGCAGTTCAATGCATGAATAAAACCGGCAGGCTAAAATTTATTTCACCTGCCAAAAAAAATTTAGACTTCATGGCAGCCAAACCCCAGTTGCAAACGATAAAAGCACGTGCTCTCGCGTTTCTTATACTCGTATAACATTGTTTTTGCTGTTTGTTAGGTTGATTTTATTTTACTTGGTGGTGATTTGTTCCATGAGAATAAACCATCGCGGAAAATAGTTCATAAGACCATGGAGATTATACGAAAATATTGTATGGGAGACAGACCGTGTTACTTGGAGTTTCTAAGTGATCAGTCCATCAATTTCGCTGCTAACAGGTATTTATACCAATTATGAGTTCAAATTCACATTTTCACAAGCATAGATGGTACAAAGGTAACCAAGTATTTGAGTTACGGGGCCATTCACAAAGGATGTCCGAGCCAGGGGGGGGGGAGGGGGGTTTGGAAAATCAGGACAAACTCGGACATAGGGGGGGGGGGTGGTTTAGCAATCCGGATGTCCGAAATTTAAAATCTTTCAAAAACAAAGTTCTTTTTCCTCTATATTGAACTCTCCTTCCCATTGTGAAATTGGCATTTTGACTATGCGGTTAATACTAGATTTTGTTTTATTTAGTAATTTATATGTTTTTGTATTCACATTTATAGTTATAAAAAAGTTCTAAAAGTGAAAAAAGTTTTTTACTCTTGACATATACAAGGTTGCGTGAGTTTTTGCGAGGCATGGCAGATGTCCGGGGGGAGGGGGTCACTAATTCGGACAGCCGGACAAGGGGGGGGGGAGGGGGATCTGAAAATC